AACTATATAAAATAGTTAAAAAGTTTAATAATATAATTACCTTTAGTACAACTTTATAGTAAATTATATAAATGCTTAAACTACTACTAATCTTAGTAGTAATCTATATAGATTTAAGGTCTTTATATAATTACTTTATTAGGCTAAGCACTACTAGTAAAAAGTAACTTATAATTAACATTATGTTACTTTATAAATTATATAAAAAAAAGAAATTACTAAGATAAAGTAGATTAATAGTAAAAACAACTTAGTAAATGCATATATAAAGAAAACACTAAATTAGGCTCTTTAATTATTAGTTCTAACTAACTACCTCTCTGTCTAGATAGAAGCATCTGTAGACTAGCTAGATCTTGTGCGCAAAGATGCTCTAGACTAACTAAACTAATAACACTTTTATATAAGGCCTATTTTTTTGTTTTTTTTATTATACACACTTATTTTTTTTATTATAAGATTAGAAGAGAAAGATATGTAAAAAAGATAGTCTATTTATCTAGTATATAAGAAAGGAAAAAGCTACTACCCCTTACGTATAGTAGTCACAATGCAGACTACAGCTCTGCTATATACATAAGGCGTAGGCATTAGCTTAGAAGTTAGCTAACATATAACACTTAATAAAAAAAAAGCACTAGTAGTGCTGCTATAATAATAAGTATATAAAGTTACTAGAACTTAACTATAACTCTAGACTAAAACTGCACAGAAGTACCTCTTATAACACATAACCTTTGCTGCCTATAGCTATAGATTAGTGCTAGTAGGCAAAATAATGTTAATATTATAAAATAGTAAAGCTACTACATGCTGCTTCTTAGCCTATCTATAATTAGTATTTTATATAAAGAGAAAGTAAAAGAGCTAAAAAATCTATATGTTTATGCTAAGACGCTAAATAAACTGCTAATTAGTAGCAGAACTAGTTAAAAGGGTAACACAGATGCGCTCTAGGCTGCTAGACTGCACAAGGACGTTAAAGACGCCCGCACTAACAGCGCTAGAGGTAGAGGAGGAAGGCTAGAGAGACATCTCTTAGTGTGTGTGTGTGTGTGCAGGCAGGAGTATCTGTTACTATTAGCACTGTATAGAAAGAGAAAAGAGCTAGAGAATTATACAGTAGGGCTTAAAAAGTAAAGGATAAAAAAGAGAAGGTAAAGAAGAAGAGGAGACCTTATTATATACACCTCTCTACGCACCTGCCTACGCAAATATCCTACACTATTCTAGCATAAAACCCTGCATAAAATAGTTTATACACTGCTAAATTACTTATAAAGTAAGTGTATAAAGGTTAGATAATAATAGCCTAAAACACTTTATACTATTTATAAAGCTATTTATATAGTATAACTAGCCTATTTTAATGTATAGCATTACTAAGGCAAGTTTTAATAAATAAGGTAGAGTAAAGGCAGAATATAATTAGATAGACTTATATAAACAAAAAAAAGGTAATGTGTATAAAAGGTAACTCTTTAGATAAAAAGAAAAGTTGCTAGTGTCTGTACACAGCAGTAGTGTTATAATCTAGATATAAGCAATTGCGCATAAGCAGGACTATGTATTTATGTTACATAATGCTTATGTGTAAACTTTTATGCATAAACATCTAAATATCTCTCTTTTCTTTTATATAAAGGAAAGATAAGAGTAATAGAACTAGAAACATGTTACCCTTACCTTACCTACCTTGTACGCTGTGCACACTGTACACCACTCTTACTCTTGCTACTTAAGTGCTTATACTATAAGCAGCTAGCTGTTAGAGCCTATTTAACAGCTTACACTTTAAGCTTTTAAATAAAATATAAAACTTTTTAAAAAATATGCTATAGCTATATATAAAGTTTTTTAAAAAATAATAAATAACTATAGCACTAAATAACTTTTATAAGCTAATTTTATAGCTAACTTATAAAAGCTAAGTAATAATAAAAAGTAGGTAATTATTAAAACTATACTTAAGCTATATATGTAAAGATTTTTTTTAAATAGCATTTATAGCTGTCAGATTAAAGCACTGTTTCTAGGCTTTCTAAGATGAATGATGGGTTTGGATATAACTATTTAAGTATAGTATAACTATAAAAAAGCTTTTTATAAAAGTTTTAAAGTAATTTAAAGTAAGTTTAGCTTTATAAAAAATATTAAAGCTAAGTATAGTATCTAGAATAATAACATGTATAACTTTAGTAAAATAAGCTTTATTATAAGCTAAATATTTATTAACTATACTTATACTCAAAACTTTACTTTAAGCTTTAAATAACACTTTATAAACATACTAAGCTAGTTTATGCTAATATAGCTGAAATTATACTTAGCATATAAAAAATTAGCTATATTAGCTATAAATGCTATTTAAGAAAAAAATTCTTGTGTATATAGCTTAAGTATAGTCTTAATAATTACTTACTTCTTATTATTACTTAGCCTTTATAAGTTAGCTATAAAATTAGCTTATAAAAGTTATCTAGCGCTATAGTTATTTATTATTTTTTAAAAAACTTTATACATAGCTATAGCATGTTTCTTTAAAAGTTTTATGTCTTATTTAGAAGCTTAGAGTGTAAGCTATATTTAACATTCTTTTAGTATGTCTAAGTAGTGTTGTTAGGAATACATTAGTGTAAGAAAAGTAGTTTAGTAGGGTCTTAGTAAAAGTAAGTAACTTTAGTGTGTAAGCAACTTGCCTGTGAAGTACGTTAGTAGTAATCTATTTCCTATATTAAATTTTAGCGTTGCTATGTCATCTCTGGCTAGCTAGCACATAACTGCTAAGAATGTTTGTCTGCTTTGCTCAGTTTGCTTAGGTTAGATAAGCTAAATCTAGCCATCTTGTCTAGTGGCCTTTTCGGTGGGCAGTGCCCTTTAGTAGGCAGTGCCTTACTAGCATTTGTTGCTAGCTAAACTGCTACGCAACCACTATTACTATTACCACAGCAAGCTAATATGGACAAAGCCAGTCTTGTACTGGCTGAAGGTGTCCCCGAAGGCATACCTGGCACCTGGTCTGCTCGAGCTGCACACGGCAACATCCCCCTATCCACCCTCTATCATCGCGCACGCGGACAACGCTCGAGAGAAGCGAAAGCACAAAGCAAGTAGTACCTCACTCCATGCGAAGAGAACGCTGTCGTTGATTTCTTATTACATATAACTTCTCTAGGACAACCTGTACGAATGAAGCATGTAGCGGCAATAGCGTTTAGTGCCACCTGCTACTAGGCGCAAGCAGATAGGCCACATAAGCCTCCAGGCGTGAAATAGGCTAAGGCACTTAAACAACGCCGCCTAGAGATCATAGCAAGAAAAAATAGGGCGCAGGACTAGAACTAGTTTAACATCTATAAAAAGGTCTTGCATTAGTTTAAAGTAATTAAAAAGGAGCTACAAAATGCCCTGCTGGGCAATGTCTATAATATAGATAAGACTAGAGTTATGCGTAGCATGCCTAATTCTGTTAAAGTCCTTGTTAGTAAGGATAATATACAAGGTAGTTGTAGAGTCGCACGCGTCAAGCGCACTATGATAACAGCAATTAAATGTATGTCTGCTAATAGTAGGTGTCTTAATCCCATGATAGTCTGGCCTGCCTTAACCTATCAAGCAAATTAGACTACCTTCTGTACCCCTAGCTAGGTCTATGCTTTCTCTAAAACAGGATTTTCTAACTTATACATTAGCTTCTAGTGGCTAAAGCTTGTCTTTAACCCTTAAATAAAAGAACAGGCTTGTAGGAAACTATGTGTCCTAATCTAGGACAGGTTTAGCACGCATGACACCCTTCAAATCCTAGAATTCTACTTTAAGAACAACATTACTATTTGCTGTCTACTCTCTTACACCCCTTACAAGCTCTAGCCTTGCAATGTTGCAGTCTTTAGACTACTAAAGGCAGCCTATTGTAAACAAGTTAAGTAAATAGAGCAACAAGGGATTAACACTGTTAGGAAGCAACATTTTACTTATCTTTACAGTCCTACAAGGGAAATTGCACTTACTAAGAGAAATATCCTTGCAGAGTAAAGAGGAAGCGGTTTGTTTCCATTTAACCCTAACAGAGTCCTTGCTAATATCCCTAAACTACCTCTGCCTCCTGTTAAGCTGAGTATCCTAACAAATCATAAGGTGCAGTGCAGTCTTAATACAAAGCATTGCCAACGCCTGTGACAGCTAAATTAGGAGAGGATTTAGCAAGGCTGCTTCACATGATTAAGCATGTATCCAAAATATCTAGCGATGAAGCGACTAGTGAACACAAAGAAAGGCTCTAACAAAAAGTCTCTCATGCCGCCTAGGCATTCCTTGCCAAAAATGCCCTCCTCTGCGATTATAATTAATTCCTAACTAGAATGAACAACAAAAGCAAAGCTTGTTAAGCAACAAAGCTAATAATATTAGGGAAGGAGGGTGATGACATGGGAGGATCTTAAGAAGGCGCGAGTAGAGCATGCAGAGAAAGAGGCGAAGAAGGCTGCTAAAGAGGCCTGGGAAGCTATTACAGGCAAAAAACGTGGTTGGCCCCGCAATAGTACTAAGGCGGATATGCAAGAGCTGAAGGCTAAGGTAGCGCGGATAAGTGAGGCACAAATCGCGGAAGGCCAAGCTGGTCTCTCGGAGCCGAAGGCTAAGATTGTAGAGAGGAGAGAAGCGCAGCATGCGGAGGGCGAAGCTGGTCCTTTGAACCCAAAGGCTGTTCTGCTTAGTACACCACAGGTTCAGAAATGGAGAGCCCCAGTAGCACGTATGTGTACTAGCTAGGAGTTTGTACTGTAATTTCAGCATGATTATCTTATATAATAGTGAACGAAAACGGTTCCCAGTTCCTAAATTTTGGTTATTCTGCTTGCACGGCTGTGCAGTCCGACCATCCTCCCTGCTAGCGGTGGCAACTCGAAGTAACGTTACGATCTCACATTCGCTACACCTGGCGACGATTTCTGCTGCTTCTGTGCTACGTTCAGCCTGCTGCTTGCCATATCCATCTCTTGCTAGGTAATGTTCAGCGTGCTAAGTTCCATTGCCTCTAACTGCCATGTTGCAAGAGCGTTACGAGATGATATCGTAAAGGGATGTTGAGAGCCCAAAACTACCGTCTCCAGCCTGCAGCAGTTCTCCAGTAGTGATATAGCTTCAAATGCAAGTCCCTGACCTTTGAATGTATGCGCGAGGTTGTTCATGCTGGTCAGCGTGTCTGGATGCTCCTCCCCAAGCACCCTCTTTCTCGTCTCCATCACTT